CTCAAGATCAGAAGTCGCACTACTACAACCACTAGACCAACGAGGCAGTACTATACCTGATAAGATATTGTGGTTGGGTGATAATATTGAATTAGCCTTTTATAGTGTAAATTATAATATTTGTCGAAATTTTAATTATAGATTCGAACCTTACATGCTAATGGTGCTTCATTTTTTTATTTGCATTTACTTCAAAGAAAATACACGCAAAAAGCTTCATCGCGCAGTAAAAAACACAACAAATATATGTATAACTAATACGAAAAATTATACCCAAAACAAACAAATAATACTACCTATAAATAACCTAATAAGTAATATTATTTATCGACTGATATTACGTGAGTGTATGCGGCGCTGGTCGACGCTCTAACGACACGGGCTTCGCGTCGAAGAGCTCAGGGCTCACTGACTAAGCAAGCCCGTGAGCAGTGAATATGCCCAGATTTTAAAATAATTTCTTAATAAAATCAAATTTTGGTCTTTTGAAAAAAAATTTACTATAGAAATGTTTATTAATAAATTGCCTATCCATTGGTGTAAATCGCAAAATAAAATAATACTTACTTTACGAGGAGATCCATGTTATCAATAACAATTTCACATTTATGTGGTTTCGTTGTAAGGAGATTATATTAATATTTATTCGATTAAAAAAAAATTGGATATAGCTTTTATGGAATCAAGATTATGTAGAAATATAATGTGTTTTTTATTTGTTGATATATCTTTTAAATAAAAAGTAGATAGCTTCTAAAAACCGCCCAAATAACGACTGGCGCGACTTTTTGCTCAACCTGCGCCTTAATAAGTCTTGTCGAATTTTAGCTAGTGGGATGGAATAATGTTCAGTGTTGGATTGACGTAAGTGTTTCCGTTTTGGGTTAGAAGATAAATTAAAAAAAAAAAACATAAAATACGGATACACGTTTATGGTCACTTGATTGTTAACTTTACAAGTACTTAGACTTATAGGTGTGTCGAATTGGAAATTTATACAGCCGCGCTCACAAGACTTCTTATCACAGATTAAAAATACCAAGGATATTATAATTATAAATTCGTTGAATAAACGAATCAATTTTCGTTGCAAAATCCCTTAGAAGAATTGTTATCTGGTTGTATATTTTAGCGATATTGAGGCGCACCTTAAAAATATTTTAATTACGCACATTTTTATAGTCTATTGAAATGTAGTGTTTTTTTTTGTCACAATTAATTGTAAGTAAGAAATTTTCACTTAGTGTTGTCAATTTTTCGGAATGTATCAAGTCTTATAACTTGGTGATATTACCTACCTCCGGCCAACCCTGTATTGTATAATACAATGTAGGGTTGGATTTGTAGACAGACTGTATAGGATAGCGTGCAACGTACTCACGTCATGGTAATTTTTAATTATCGCGTTCAAATGCCAGTGAACTTGGCCTCGGGCTGTGGAGCGCGGCGGAGCGTGCTGGTCCCGCCTTGCGGCTTGCGGGTCACCGTCGCCGACACAAGTCAATAGAAATCTGTGGAATTTGTGGGACACGCCTTCTAGAGAACCGATGCATTCTGTTATAGTAAAGAAGTAGTAATTGGCTTTTTTGACACTCCAAAAACACTAGTTTTTAAGGGGTAGAGCCATGCTGCTGCAGCTATATTACTGGTATAGTTGTAGCACGAATGTGTTGGCTCGACCGGGGAAGGACCACACTCGCACAGAATACCAGCAACACAGTAAATAGCAGGTTAACTTTGCTGTGTTTCGTATGGTGAGTGTAGAGAACCGGAAATCCATTTTACTGGAAACTAGGCATTTCATCTTAGTCCTCACTGGTGACAACGCATCTGCATTTTGATTCGTCATCGAGGATAGATGCAGATGTCTATGGACCACAGCAACCACTTACCATCAGGTGGACTGTGTGCTCGTTTGTCACCCTTATCCTATAAAAATAAAGAAATTAGTAGGTACTTCAAGAATGTAATCAATCAGTACATTAAAGAAAAAGTAAACGTTTCGTATGTGAACCATATTGCAATATTTCTTTTTATATACCCTAGTTTACTGGTTGCAGCCGCACCCTATCGGACTAGTGACACAGAATGTAATTTATTTGTGTTGGTAACTGATATTGCCAACATTTATTATAAATGCTTACCATACTCAATTTCATTCATTAAAAAAAAACTATGTATTTGTATAAAAACAAAGTGCATTTTTCGATACAGCTATTTGTTTAGTGCTCCGACGGATAGTCTACAATTAAAACCGCTGTTTACAAAGATTCTATTACCTGTTAGAAATCTTACTTTGCCATACTTTAACGTAGACTTGATCGTTATCACGTTTACCGCTGGCTAAGGCAGCCGTGCAAATCGCATTTCCTCAACCCACATGCCTATTGTAAGAGAAAATTCAATCATGTCCATAGAATTTTATTGAGGAAATCGCACTTTTTATATATTGAAGTAACAAACGAACTTCATTCCTCCTAATGGTGAGTGGCCAATGCAATCCATGGACACTTTCCAACTGAAATTAAGAAGGCTACCTATGCCTTGGCATCTCTGGAGGACTAAGATAGAATATATCATGGTCTATAATAATTATAATGGCTTTCTTTACCCTTCAAACCATAACACGAAGCACGTATTGCTATTTGCCCAGAAATTGGTAGAGCACTTTGAATTCCATAACCGTAATAATTCATATTCTGTCTTACAAACTTGTTTTATTAATAGACTCTGGTTTAAAGAAGAGACTTAGTCACGAAAGAAGTCACGGGTCAGTTTTTGCGTAATTTAACATTAAATTGCTGTTAAATTTCATACAGATACTTTACAGTTCGCATTTCCAGGGGGGACTTACTTATTTAAACTCGCTCTACGTTTAAACTGAGACGAATTAAAAACTACTCTTTGTAACAAGTCTGATTAAGATTAAGTTTTAGCTTACCTTATTACCTTTAAAAATGAATGACTCATTGCCTTTCTCACGGTGAGACGTAGACAGTACCTAGAAAATGTGACTAATCTCGTACTGAGTGGGCTAACAAGTCAATTGATACGGCCTGTTGATTATGACATACTATTAATTTCCATATTATTATATTTATATCTAATAATAATAAGGTATTCCACGAGTGTTTAAAATATCTTTGACAAATATTTAACTTCGAATAGCGTCATAATATGTATAATTTTAACATTTTCCCGCTGTCTTCTTTGGTATTTCTAAGTTTTTTTATGTTTCTAATATTTTGTATTTTATGTTCGAAATCTGGCACCTATTCCAATATTGTTTAGTAATTTTACTCTTCTTGTAAAGCATTTCGTGGTTGCCTTAAATTAGATTTAAAACTTAAGTTTATATTTTTGAACATGTATTATTGTAATAACCTTTGGCTGTTAAATAAATGAATAAATAAAATATGTAGCGATGTCGATATAGTAGGTTCGCACTTCGCACTAGACCGGAGCTCGGCGCGGCGACAACGGCTAGCCATATCGCTTACAAGCTGAAAATAATACCCGTCGGATGTTAATAGCGTCGGCGCCAGAGAAAGAGAAAATCGTAACGTGCGAATCGACTCCCTACACAATGGATACCCCACGTCCACATATCTAGACGTCACGCGAGTGCGATACGCAGGACGAAATTAGATCGACGCGATATACTGCGTAGCTATGCGGAAATCAAGGCGAAAAGATCGCGCGCGTGAATTTATCGACGCCGAGGTTATTTAATTTATACGTAGTTTCGCGTATATTTCGCGAGTCGCTTCGTCCTTGAAACAGTTTTACAGCTGCCCACATAACCTGTTTCTATTTCCAACGCCTTAAAATGTAATCGGAAATTCTCGATAGCTAACGATTTTGTAAGCGAATGCGCGTTTCTGTCGGCCGTGTTCGATTGCCGCGAATCGCTGACATAATTATTCGTTGGTGTAACGAGATAGCGCGGTCGCATGCAGCGATTTCCGCGAAATTTGCGCTGTGTAGTAAATACGCGATACGTAGTACACAACATCCGTAGAACACGATGCTCTTTGCCTATTAAGTTTACCGCGCTCATTCATGGAATACGATATTGCCAGCTTCGCTATTAATAAATACCAATTGCAATTGTTGTGACCTATAAGAAATAATTGTGACCTCTTCTTTTGTAACGGAACTAAACGAAAGCGTGTCTAGTAACCTTGTCCTGCTCATTTGGGAATCCTACGCCAAGTGGCTTCGGTTCTAGAAAAAGCAGGTAGATTATAACAGAGAGGCGCCCGTGTTGAGGCAGTTACCATTGACGCCAACAACTCCGTACGTCTCTCACAATGTTATTTTAAAACTTAATAGTGAACCGTAAGCTTGTTGCTACGCGATTGTGCCCTAGCAACAGTAACAGGTTTTACTGGTTTCAAATAGCTTGCGTGTCATCGTTAGGTAACTGCGGTATTCCAAAGCTTCTATCTACTTCAAATGTATTGTGCTGAGCGACAGAAGTTAGGTTGGAAAGCGTGTCCACCGGTTGATAGCCCAGCGTCCATTGAGTGCGGACGCTGTCTGCAGTAGAAGTCGCGCACGCGTTCTCGTTTTGGCGCGAATAACCGTGACTTCAGGCGTCTGGATCGATGTCCACAGACGCTGCGGTAGTACGCCGGGGTCGACGCCCTCACCCGCCTTCCCCCGCACCGTAACCGCCCCTCCCACCTGACTACTGCAGCCGCATCCCTACACCACATCTAGTCCCGCAATCGTATATAGATGACGCTACGACAATCGCCCGCCTTTTATGGTGATGCGAATATAATGAACTTCGTATGAATGAAAGCATGCGAGGTATGAAACAGTAATTAATGCGGGTTTTAATTTGCAATACAAATAGCAATCGTTAAACCATATATACCACTCGTCCTACTCAATAACACAATTGTTCGAAAAGTTTTAAAATAACTGCACTAGCAATTTTCTTACCTTTTAGGAATTAGTGCATCATCTAAACGTTTTCTCTTTTGTTACAGAGGAGGAAATCGACGTAGTGTCCCTTGGCACAACACATCAACCATTACCTGGTACGACACAAGTACATATGGATTCCTTTTTGCGGTCGCCATCATCGCAGGAACGCCATTATCTTCCTCAACAAACACCAAGGCCAGCTGCTAGGAAGCGTTTAGTCCCGCCGACTAGTATACCCACAGCTTCCGTTCCGCGGCGGAGAGCTCGAGGGCCGGGGAGACGTGGACGCCGCTCAAACACAGACACAGACTCCGAAGCCGAGTCGCCTGAGATCGAGCGTCGTTCAATACATAACGATATGGAGCGCCAGCGGCGCATAGGCCTCAAAAACCTATTCGATGAACTGAAGAAGCAAGTACCCGCAACGAGAGACAAGGAGCGTGCACCGAAAGTCGTAATACTTCGCGAGGCCGCGGCCCTATGTCGCAAACTGCGCGAGGAGGAATACGAAAGGGAGAACCTTAAAAAACAACAGAACAAACTTGTAACAAAGCTGAGAAAACTGCGGATGATGGTTTCCCGCTATCGCACGTATTGAACGTGCGAACTTTTGAAATGGTGATCGTTTTGCCTGGAGAGGCACTCCGAGAAGTCTCCACGTGACACTTGTGTGGACTCGATAACTTCTTGTAAGTTTGACTAACGCGTAATCATTTCTGTAAAATAGAATATGGTGATTATTTTGAACCTGTTGCCGTATTTTAGTTCTTCAAGGAGTTGTCGTAAGTATATTGTCAGAAATGTAGTTACAGTTTCAATAAATTGTAAGATTTTACGGCTTACTCTGCTTCTGTTTGAAAGTTGGGGTAGTACTGTAGATTTGAAGTTAGAAGTAACTGCGGGTTTGTTTTGCTCAAACGATATTTTGCAGTGCCAAAGTGAGCCATAAAATTGTTGTTAATAAATCCTAGGTCGTTATATTACCTATCATAATTCATAACAGACTGCTTTGTGAACTAGTAGACTGGTTATACCTCAAATGATTTTTGAATTATCATTTAAAAGTACCTTATATATATAGTTGAAAAAGCGCATTACAGTATAAAACCGTATTGACTTGTAAAAATAAAAGAAATTGACATTTGTTGCATAGTTCCGAAACGTTGAAGATGACTTTTTCATTACTAAGAATGATATACGTTTCGCAGTGTCACGACTTAACCGATTCGAATGGGTTTGTCAATGCTGTACATAGTTACTGTAGTGCCGATAGCCGTGAATTTATAAGTTAGGCTGGCAGGTGGCTGTTGAAAGCTTTATGGGAAGTTCTGGAGATGCTGGCCACTATATATGTTTTCGGCCCGGTTCGTAGGATTTTCTATTTCATCCTACATCTCGTGCGTGTTCGTGCGAGATCAGGATAGTGATATCAAAAATAGTAAACTTGATATTATGATAAGTCTTAAGATATGTTATAGGTTAGTTTTGCTTACGGTTTTTTGTAGTGTTTTTTTGTTATTTTGTAAATTTTAACACTTAATGTTTTTATATTTAGTCATGCCATTAACTTTCCGATTCCATATTTTAACATCTTTGGGATTGAAGACTTCGGACCATTTTGACCTATTGAATTAATTATGTATGCGTATAATATATTGCACCAACTCAAGTTAGAAATTTTATGTACACGACTAATATTAATTTATTTTTATTATATAAAGTATACCCTGGCGAAAGCGCGCACTTGTCAAGTGCGTTCGTTTCCGTTCGCGCTCTTTCATCTGTCACTCGGAGTAAAATTGCGCCACGATCGCCACAATGAAAAACGAAATTATTAATGTGCAGCCGAAGTGTGCACTTATTGTATAATATGTATGTCGTAATTCACTTCGTGTATTCGGATACTTTATAATATTTTATTTTTATGTTGTGAAATAAATTGGGCACTAATAAATTTGCTTTGATCTAGCTAAAATAGTCCAGTGACTCAAAAAACAGTGAAATATAATCTCAGTGGCTAGTGTACGTTTTTTATATAAATGAAATAGACTGTGTATTTTGATAATAACATCATAACCTACGATTACATAGTGGTCCGTTAAGAGTTTCAACAAAAATAAATAACCACGACATAGTTCCTCATAGTACCTACTGATAGAAAATTTTGCATTTTCTTTATTATTATATAATATTTTATTGCAGTAAGTTAGTGACGTACTTTCGGTACGGATTCGAGAATGTATTAAGCCAGGCTAAAAGATTTTTAACGCGCGCTGTTTTGCCAACGACAGATTGAAAATAATAATTTGGTGGCGCATTAAAAGTTTGCTTCTCTGCCCGGGCTTTACTACAGATTGATGTTTTATCAAGCACATGGTCAGCAGATTTGTACGCTGGAAGGCTTTAATTGTGTGCGGAATGTGCCTTGCTATGTACATATACATATATAGATAATATTAGGTTTATACTCGAATTAGTTGCAAGAAATATTTTTGTGAGATATTATGTAGGAGTATAGCGTTGTTCTTATAGTTAGTGATACACGAGGAGGTTTATAGTTATCCTGTTAAAGGTTCGCAGTTTATCTTCCACTAGGCGTTAAATGTACATAATAGATAATAGATCATAGATGTATGTCAGTTTTTATAAACAAGTTTTTTTTTCTACTAATTGTTTAATTTTTCTTAACGGGAGAGTTACGAATTCTCGAATGTTGTACCTGCATTTAATTTTTTTTTTGTTATACTTGACATAAATAATAAAGTTAATGATGATTTAGTTATGTTAAAATTAACATTGGTTTCTTATTCGGTGAGAATACATTGTTTAAAATTGTAGTTTGTGCATAAGGGAAAGTCAGTAGTTAATGTTTAATATAAGAGATGACAGCTTTATATTCGGTAGGACAGATCGAGATTATGGGAAAGTTAATGAATAAATGCACATATTGTGACAAGGCACATTTCCACCATTGCCAGGTGGACATCATTGATGAAAAAGAAAATATACATAGCAACTCAATTTGTAAAGTATATAAATAAGGTTGGGATGAGTAAATAATAGTTTAATTTTTATTATATACTTTTTCTTTGTATAGTATCCGTAAGTAAGGGTAACATCTAACCGCCATTGGGGCCAATCGTAGGTGTAGCGATTTTTTTATTAACGATTGGTAAGTTATTTAAGATATCGGTCGGTAGGGTCCGACGGCGCCGGTCCCCGTGACCTCCGATGGCGGTTACTGCACGCCACTACAGAGAGTGCAGGACGCAAAATAATATTCCGCCTAACATTAATGTTGCACCCTGCCATCTTTGAAGTGACGTTAGAATTAAAGGACATGTGTACTTACCACGTCTGAGTTAACTTGGATACTATTATGACGATGTGAAAAGTTCTTTGGTTTTTGTTCCTTAATTATGTGTATCAAAACGCTAAGATTATCATTAAATATGGAAATAAACGATAAAGCCAGTCCGGGACAGAGCCGAGAAACTGTTGGCTATTCGATTGTGATTTTTATACATTTCGGTATAATTTTATTGGGTTTTATGGCTACTAAATTAGTGTTCTGTGATTTTATATGTACCTGTGCGGTACGTCGGGGTATTGTTTTGAATGCTCTGTCCTTGATGGTGGAAAAAAATATTCACGGTTTTTATTCTTTCTTATAGCGTATCTCCCAGCCCTTCATTCCTTTCCTATTTATACAACAATACGCAATTACACAAAAGATAATATGAGTAAAAATGAGCGCAGTGTCGGCCGCGTAGGAGTATATCCTGTCCCCGACATCTCGTAGATTACATAGATCATTCATGTATATTAAAAAGAGAGTCGGGCCCAGGACACTACCCTGCGGGACTCCAAAAGTAGGCGTGGCTTTATCACTGTGTAAATTATTTATTTTTACTTCCTTAGTTCTGTCCTGTAGGTAACTTTTAAAAAGCATGAGTAGGGTATCTCTAATTAGGTATTCTAGCCTGTGTAAAAGAATAGGCACAGAGACGATGTCGAAAGCCTTTTTTAAGTCCAAAAGGACTAAGACATTTGCTGCCATTGTCCACTTCACCAATTATAGTAGAAGTGAGATCAAGAATCGCATCTTGAGTTGAAAGACCCTTTATAAAACCATATTGAAAATTTGATAGTAATTTAAATTTATTTATCAAAATCAACTAATCTATTGTTGAGCAAGTTTTTAATTATTTTGGAGATGGAGGTAAGGACAGTGATAGGACTATAATTGCTCACATCCTCTCTGTCCCCACTCTTATGCACAGGGGTTACTATAGACCTCTTTAAGGCGCTGGGGAAAACACCAGTACTAAAGCAAAGGTTTGCGAGGTTACGTATGTACGGCACAACAAAGGCTCTAGCATGCTTTAGAAAACCAGTGCTGATACCATCCTATCCAGCTGAGCTCCCATAGCAGGACGAAAGACGACGAGGTTTTTTTTAAATATTCTACTAAGCCAGCGCTTATCTACGATCCCACCTGATGGTAAGTGGTGATGTAGCCTAAGATGGTGAAGCGCAATGACTTAACAAAAGCCTATTCACTCTTGCCTTGAAGACACCCACACTGTTATCGGATGGAAAGACAGATGCTGGCAACTTATTCCACTCCTTTGCTGTACGCATGATGATCGACGTGGCGTTTGGTTCGAATGAGTGGTAAGTTAACAGCAAAAGGGTGGAAACTGGCTGAAGGTCTGTTTGTCTGATGGTGGAAGGGAGAAGGGGGAATTAAATTATGCAATTCCTGCGCACACTCCGAAATGCATCCTGTAGAAAACTGAAAGGCTGGCAACTTTACGTCTGTGTTCGAAGCTGGTAAGATTGGTTTTAATTAAATTCGGGTCACCAATAAGCCTCTAAGCACGCCTTTCCATTGAGTCCAAAGCTGCTAGGTGGCATTTTGCAGCACCAGCCCGTATATGACAGCAATACTCCATGCACGACCGGACTTGCGTTTTATATAAAGTAAGCAGCTGTCCCGGCGTGAATTATCGCCGCACCTTTGCAAGACTTCCAGCTTCCTTGCAGCTGCTTTGGCCTTGGACTCAATGAACCGCCCGAAGTTCAAATTTGAGGATATTTCAAACCCTAACAACTGAAGGCGGTCGGTATATTTCAGTGATACATTTCGGAAAGAAGGAGCCGAAGTGAGCTGGCTCCTTTTTTGCAGTGACGAGACACGCTTGTGTTTTGGAGGCGTTGAACTTCACAAGATTAGCTTCGCCCCATTCGGAGACTGTCTGTAGTGTGAGATTCACACGCTCTACCATAGCCTCTCTTTCGGATTGGATTGTATCCCGACTGGCCCGAGGACTTGGTTGGTATCTCTCAACAACTGTGCTATCGTCTGCATACCCATAGATACCAGGCATAAGCAGATCATTAATATGCAGCAGGAAGAGAGTTGCGGAGAGAACGGACCCCTGAGGAACACCGGCGTTAGTCGCCATAGGATCGGATGAGCAGCCATCGACGACGACCCGGAGAGACCGTTCACTCAGGAAGTCCTTTGCCCATTCAATCAGATCAGGGGATAAGCCGTACGCTGGAAGCTTACCCAAAAGGTTAGGTTAGGTTAGTTAGGTGCCAAACTCTGTCAAAGGCCTTCGAGATATCAAGGGAAACAGCAAGTGCTTCCCCACTGTTCTCGAGTGCCTCGCCCCATAGGTGTGTGGCATATGCTAGAAGGTCCCTAGCTGACCGATTTCGGCGAAACCCATATTGCCGGTCACTAAGGAGGTTTCTGTTCTAGGTATGCCATTAAGCGGGCATTCAATATACTCTCCATAATCTTGCAGAGTATGGAGGTAATTGAGATTGGCCGATAATTGGCCGGCACGGCTGCCTTTTTTTGGAACAGGCTGCACGTTGGCCAGCTTCCAGAATTTCGGCACTATTCCAGTCCTAAATGAGAGGCGGAACAAGCGTGTCAACACAGGAGACAACTCAGGTGCACAAGCCTTTAGAACTATAGCTGGTATACCATCTAGTCCACTAGCTTTATTCACGTCTAGAAACCAGGTTTTAAGAACCTCCTTATTCGTTATACGAATCTCCGACATAGAGGTCCCGCAGTGAGGTAATTTTGGTGGAACGTTGTTGCCACTGTCCAGACGTGAATTCTAGGCAAAGAGAGACGCGAACAAGTCCGCTTTCTCCTTAGCCGTATGCGCCAGTGTGCCATCCGGTTTTACCAACGGAGGCAGTGTAGGCCGACAGAAGTATGTCTTGACCGCTTTGGCGAGAGACCAAAAAGCTCTAGTGCCGGATGGTCTGGCAGAGAGTTTTGCGCCAATATGCTTAATGCGATCGAGACTAGCTTTCCGTAATGCGTTTTTGTAGGACTTGGCGGTCTGGTTGAAAGTTCTCTTCTTGGAGGTAATATTCGGAGCTTTGCGGTTTCGAGCGTCAACCGAGGATAGGTAAGCTAAATGCTTGCGCTTTTCACCTTGGGCGCATTCAGGGTTAAACCATGGCCGAGCTTTGCTACCGGTGGGAGCATCAGAGAAGGGGATAAAATACTCCATAGCTTGACGCAACACATCCGTTATCGCAACCGCGCAGCTCGACGGATCCGTAGAAGAAAAACAAACCTCCAGCCAAGGATAAGATGCAAAAAAGTGTCGCATTTCATCCCAATCAGCTGACTTATACCGCCATATTCGTCGAACACCTTGGGACTCGTAATCAGGTGGAAAGTATGACGATACAGATTTCACCAGACAGTGGTCAGATGTACCCAAAGGAGAAGTAACCTGTACTTCATATCTGTCTGGTTCGGTAGTCAGCAGAAGGTCCAAGCAATTCGCTGTGTGACCGTCTACATCGGGTACCCCAGTCGCCATCTTTACCATCTGAAAAAGACATAGCGTCAAAGCAAAATTCCACGCTTCTCTTCCAGCATGGTCGGCCTTTTGGTATGGGAATAGTCAGTCTTGGTGACAAGCGTTAAAGTCCTCAGAAAGACCAACTGTGCAGTAGGATACCGATTTAGGGCCACGTCAGCAGCCTCACTAAGGTGATCAAATAATCGTGCTGTCTGCTGGTCACCGCTGTGCGATCGATAGACACAGGCATAAAGGATTTTATCAACACCGGTATCTACCTTCACCCAGATTGTCGAAAAAGTGGGGTCTTCAAGGTGACAGAGACGCTGGAAGCAGATGTCATTGCGGACGTACACACTTACTCCGGCACGTGGATGGAATTTGTGCTCCAGGGAGAATCCAGGATAGTCAAAGTACGCCGCACTCAATGGACATCCAATTTGCGTCTCTGTCAAGAAAAGTAGGTGCGGCTTTTCAGTCTCAAGATGGTGATGGACTGCGCTGGGATTAGAGTGCAATCCTCGAATATTAGTGAGGTGCACTTCTATTGAGAGGACGTGCAACCGCTGTTTAACACTACTTTTCTTTTTAATGTACATATTAAGTGTTGAGAGTGAATAAGGATGTAGAATGGCAGTTGAGCGAGGCGTTCATTAGCAACCAAAGGATACCATCAGAGTTGCTGTGCCCAAGGAAGCTTGATCTGGAGACTGCGGGGACGCCCGAACCGATGCGTTGTCACCCGTGAGGACTAAGATGGAATGCCTCGTTTCCAGTAAAAAGGGTCTCCGGTTTTCTACACTCACTATACGAAACACAGCAGCGTTAAGCTGCTATTTTACGCTGGTATTCTGAGAGAGCCTGGTCCTTCCTCGGTCGAGCCGACCCATTCGTGCTACAACCATAATATAGATGCAGCATGGCTCTACCACGTATAAACCAAACCAAAACCACGTGTAAACCAAATCCAGTAGTAGCGGTTTTAAGTTAATTAGGGCTACATAATTTGACTTGGGTGGTTTGTACCGAGTGATCTCATTTACTGTTTTCCAGAAGTTACAGGGGTTATTAGCAGATTTATTGATAAGTTCTCCATAATGCTGTTTTTTAACTTTTTTGATAAGGTTGGAACAGAAATTTCGAAAGCGTTTTAATTTATTTTTAAAATTGTATTGTGGGGGGTCCGTTTCGACCTTTTGTTGTAGTTATTTATTTCTTAGCCTTATGCACCTCAGAGCTCCGGGGGTTATTCAGGGTTTTAATATCCTTTTATTGTTAGAAGAGTGGGTTAATTTAGTGTTTTTTCTTGGATAGCTGACTTAATTATATTAATAAAAGACTTGGCAAATTCTTCAAGGCTATTCGGCATTTCTGAAAAGGGGATACTCCTCGATATGAGAGTATTATATGCCCCATCAAAATCTGTAATTAGTTTGGACTTAGTGGGAGCTTTGTGGGTAGATGTTTTAGATAACTGAAGCAACACAAGATTATGGTCTGTGACCGTCGTGTTAAAGATAGCAATAAAAGCTGCAATGAGGTGGACTTCAAGTTTTATCATTACGTGGTCGAGGCAGGATCTCTTTCTCGGTAGTGTGACCAGGCAATAGTCCGTGCAGGGATGGTGTGTCTAAGAAGCTGAGTCTATCACGGCGATACTGAGGCTTCTCTGTAGCTATGGGAAGAAGTTTATGTCACCTATGACAGACACATTTTTATGATGACTAATAGTTTCCAGATGTAAGTCGAGGGAGCTAGTAAAACTATCGGCGTTGAGAAAAGAGGGGTGCGGTATATACCCAGAAAGACATAGTTATCAATCTCTATTTGTAGCCCAGTAGCGTCTGAGAAGTGAAAGTCAATAACCTTAGCTCGGTGATTGCTTTTGATATAAGCTACTACACCATCATTTAGATGATTGGTAGGAGGTGTAAATATTTAAAAATGGTATTTGTTTGTTCGGGTCTAATCTGCATTCGGTAAGTATTAGAACGTCAATATCAAAGTCCAATACTGATAGGGTAACCAAAAGTTCGTCATGGCTCTTATAAATACTAGCCATATTTTGCGTTACAACAAATAGATTATTACTAGAGGAACCCAACCAATGGTAAGTTAGTTCTTCTATATTAGATTTGATTGTGTTAATTGCATGCAGTCTAGTTCCTGGTTAGTGAGCTGGCTATACATTTAAAAAAAGAGTAAGTCATTGCCATCGATATTTATATGTACTACGCACTAGAATTCGTATTCCGAACATCGATTATGTTCAACTGAACTGTACTGCAATCCGTACAAACTAAATATTGCGTAAATTGAAGATTTGTGCATTCCGTAAGATAAATATTATTACATTTTATATAGAAATATGTTTGTTTAGATTAAAATAAGATATTTTAATTAATATCTTATTTTATACCAAATTACTACTACTCTAGCGACTACTACTCCCGCGCATGCGTTAAGAAATAGAGTAAGACACAATTTTTGTTTGGAATGGCTTCTCTAGTACGTAGTACATATAACTCAATGGTCATTGCAGAGGTACATAGGCTGAGTAGAGATAATTTTGTTAAAAAAAAAACTTGCAAGTAGACACGAGAATATATACCTCCAACCAAATTAACTTACTTTTTACAGCCGGGCACTATGCCTACTATGCATAGTATCCGGATGTACACTGTATGAACATAGTAGTTAATGGTAAAAGACAATCTACTTATCCAAATTCTAGTCATAAATGGAATCCTACCACCATTTATCCTATCACCATTGGCGTAATAAGCCTGCAAAGGTGGACTAGGGAATAACTATGCGTTATCAGTGTACCTACATACATGCTGCGCAATTGATAATGAAGTATAAAGTCACAAGTTTAAGGCTATTGATATAGAAGATAAACGGTACAATTTTTCGCAAAAAAGTTTAATTTAGACATGATATTTTGTTATTTATTTTTTAGTATTACGTCTCAATGTGACTATCTATTTCTTATTAGAATATCAGTCTGAGGAGAATCAAACTAAATCGTCAGTAACACTGATCATTTTTGAATCTTTTATTAATTTATACCTAAATTATTCCTATAATAGGTATAGGTCAAATGTGCTTTACAATCAAATTTCGTACCATTTTTATCCTTATCTTCATTTGTAAACATTAGGCTCTAAGCACGCGTACTCTCACTTTGCCAAGAACGGAACGCATTAAAGTTCTTGAGCTGTCACAACAAAAGTGAAGTTAGTTTTAGATTTTAGTTGTGTTTCGTGAAGTTCGTGTAAGTGTTGTTATGATGGCTTTAAGATCTGTGATATCCTCAAAAATACCTATGGTGATAATTTTGGGTGCAACAGGAACTGGAAAAACTAAATTAAGTGTGCAATTAGCGCAAAAATTTGAAACAGAGATTATCAGTGCGGATTCTATGCAGGTTGGTTTATTCTAACCTCAAAGGTTTTTAAACCTTTGAAGTTGTTAAACATAATTAATTGTAATTTGTCATATCAATAAACTTTCATAAAAAGGTTAGCTAATATTTTGGACAAGTTATTGGGCGTTTTCGTAAAGGACGTGATAACCTCAAAGTTTGAAAACCAATATTCTCACTGCAATATTAAAAAAAAGTCTTAAATGTTTTAAAAATGGATGCACTGCAAACTTGAAGCCGCTTCAAGCACGCTGCAAACTTGATGGTAAACTGGATCGTGTATGGCATCCATAATATAAGAAAACGCTGAATGTATGGAAGCAATATACTATTGCTTTACGTTAACAATTTCATAATTTGTTATGATATACATAGTCCGGCAAAAATAATGGTTATTAAGCACATATTTTTAATGTTAGAGAAAACAGCAGGGAATGTATTTAACAATTTATTAATTAAAATAAAACAATAGGTACTAATTCCACCAACTTTCTTGTCTTGTCTTATCATTTATGTTAAGGCCACAGCAACCACTTACCATCAGGTAGACTGCGTGCTCGTTTGTCACCCAATCCTGTACAAAAAATCAGATTATATTTTTTTTATAGGAGAAGGGTGACAAACGAGCACACAGTCCACCTGATGGTGAGTGGTTGCTGCGGCCCATAGACATCTACATCTATCCTCTATTACAAATCAAAATGTAGATGTGTTGTCACCCGTGAGGACTAAGATGGAATGCCTCATTTCCAGTAAAAAGGGTCTATCTGGCTACTTTTATCCTATTCGGTCGAATACCGAATACTTAAGTAGGGGATTTTATTGTAGTCAGATAGAAATAGAAGCTGTTTATTCAATGTAGATTATAAATAACAGTTATTGAAAGTCACTCTTTATGTTAAATTACCACTGGTTTGAAAAAAAACTTTGTACTGGGAAGAACCAGCAAGATACCCAGCGAGACATGTATGTGACATGATGGACATGTATGTTACAATTATAAACATAAAATGAATTAGAAACAGCCTGGTAGTGATCTCCTCATTCTAAGGGGTTATTATCATCCATAAATTTTTATTAATCGTTAAAGTAGTCAAAGGTACATACTCTTCTTCTTCTTCTTTGCTTTTTGGCTTCTCTTAAAAGAATTCTGCCAATGTCAAGTCAGTCATGGGAGTAGGTACATACTCAACTTACATATTATAAAAATTAAAAAAAGAACTCAGATATATTTCTTCGTTTTAGAATTATCGTAATTAAAGTGAAACTGCAGAAAGACAGACTTTTTTTCATTTTCAGGCAGTAGTTTACTCCCTTTCTTCTCGTAGACAAGGCCAGCTTCAGAGACTAGAAGCTCTGAATAATTACTACTTCCTTCCTGGCTGAATACTTTTGCCTAATATTTGTTTAGTCCGCAGAATATTTGATATTCGGCATGTATCCGAGTATATTATTCATTGCAAGTCTAATTAATATATTATTTTGAATTTTTTTGAACCAGTATTCAACTACAATTCTATCCAACGGTACTGTTATGAAGAGTTGTTGTAATTAAAAATACAGACAAACTTTAGTTATTCTACTAACATAAAATCTATTTTTTTAAATTGAATAAGATTGACAAAAATGAGCATACAGTCCACCTGATGGTAAATAGATATTGTGGCCCATAGACATCTACATTTATTCTCGACTAAGAATCAATATGCAGATGCTTTGTCACCTCTCAGGACTAAGATGGAATACTTCATATCCAATAACAAGGGTCTCCATTTCGCTACACTCACCATACGAAACACAGCATAAAGCTGCAATTTTACATTGGTATTCTGTATAGTGATCCTTCCCTGGTCGAGCCGACCCATTCGTACAACAACCATATAACTGCAGCATGGCTCTACCATGTACAAAATTGGACTAATCTATATCTTTACAACTACACAAATAATTTAAATTGAAGTGTGTCTTTGTCAAAATAACAGCTTTCTACTAAATTCATATGAAAGTATATGCAGTACTTAAAACAAAAACACATTTTTTAAAATTTTTGTATGACTGTCTATCCGTCTTTTCGTCTGTCTGTCTGTTTGTTCCGGCTAATCTCCGAAATGGCTGGACCGATTTTAACAGGATATTCACTTGCAGATAGCTAATGTTATAAGGAGTAACTTAGGCTACATTTATTTTAGAAAATTAATTAGGTTACCGCATAAAGTTGCAGCCTATTTACGTCCCACTGCTGGGCACAGGCCTTCTCACATATCTAAGAGGATTTTAGGGCAAGGAAATGTCAGCCGCGTTGCCCCAATGCGTGTTGGCGGTACTGCACTAAAAAAATAAAATGCATGAAATCCAATCGTAATAAATTATTACATGCGGAGAACAACTAGTTCCACAAATAAAAATTATTCTACTCCCTTGTTGTACGCATGAAAAAGCCTCTTTAGTATGATGTGAAGAATAACAAAAATTAAGGGATAATATTTTTTATTTTAAGTTTAATTGTGGTTTTATTATTACACCTAATCACTTTGTTTTTACCAACCGTTTGCTGCATTTCGTTACTGAACATGGGCCTCTGACATTGCATTTGTTACAATGTTTGGCAGATGGATTTGTTGATCACAGTACAACAGTCGCACTTTGATGCTGTTTCCCAACATCAATTGGTGTTTTCTTACTTCTACGTTATACTGCCTTCTATCAAAGGCCATCTATTCCTACTTGTAAATAAGCTTTCCTTTACTATATTTTGGTGAGATTTAGTTACTCTTGTCTTGAACATGCAGTGATGAAGTACGTACATACAAATTCCACTGCTGGGCACAGATCTAATACCTGAGGTGGTTTTAGGCCATGGTAAGGACTGTTGCGTACCATCAGACTGCAAACTGTAAATTTTTTGTCTTTGCAAGAGTTGGGGTTCTCGGAATGAGCCTCCCAAGTGTTGTACTGAGCCTTTATTTATGTTATGTACAGTCTTCTTTTTTATACGGTGAGAAACAAGCACACATTCCACCTTCTTGTAAGTGGATGCGGTGACCCATATACACCTACATCAGTGATTGTGAGTATCAAAATGCAAATTACTACTAAACTACTACTCTTGTGAATAGACAGACATATTGTCTTTCAATAAGTATATTATGTAATAATCTATATTGGATAAAAACATTCTATTCTATCCTGAAGAAGAAGCCTGACATCTCTCGCCCATAGGATGACCTCAGGCTTCAAGCAGGTTGGCAACTGCAGTTATTTACTACATTGTGTTGTTATCAGACTGATGCTGCTATCTATTCCTGTTTTACGGCAACGACAACGGCGGGATGATATGGGGAAGTAAATTCTCTTACGGTGCCAGGAGGTATTAGCCGAAACAAGTCTTTTAATTGTGCAGTATCATCATCATCATCATCATTACAGGCCTCCATAAGTTTACTGCTAAACATAGGCTTCCCTCAAGGTAGCCATCGATTTCCAGGCTGTCTAATCAGGTCGTCACTCTATCGATTGAGGGGCCGCCCTTAACTGTGCTTACCGCTACGGGATTGCCACTCGATAGCCTTTCTTCTCTATCGGATGTCAGTAAAGTGTTGCATGCACTTGGCTAATTTATTTTTCACATAATATTATGTTTACAAACATTATTGTATACTTCTACTGTAAAGAGTCATCACAAATACAGTATGTATCATAATCATCATCAGCCTGCGGCAATCCAATGCAGTGACACTGGACATAGGCCACTCCCAAGGCGTGCAATGTAACTCCTACAGTATGATCCAAACTGTCTATTGTTCATATAAGGATTTTTCAATTGGCGCGGGTAGATTTTGACGGCCCGTGGCGGCTTTGTCTTGGTGACATCTGTCATATCTATTGTTTATTATTCAGTTACGTATGTCAAATCACCATGGCAAGTTACACGATTGAACAACTCGTTCAAATGATAAAACTTTGTTAGACGGCTCCGTGGTGCAGTGGCTCAGCAATGACTTGCTGCGCTGAGGGCCGCGGGTTCGAATACCGCACGGAACAAGTATTTGTATGGCCTACAAATAATTGTTCCGGGTCTGGATGTTTGTCCTTGTGCAATTTGTGTTTGTGCTGCCTTCACGATACAGGAGAAAATCCTAGTGTGAGGGTAACGTTTACAAAATGAGTGTTCGTTAGTGCTAACATTGCACGCATTGCGCTCATTTTACGGTGGACGTGGTGATCATTCACAGTCGACTCTTCAACGTTTGGTGGCTAAATACGAAACGACCGGTTCGGTAAGAAATCACCCAAAACTCGTACGTTCAAGGAACGCAAGATCGAGCGAGAACATAGTCGCGGTTCGTGAAAGTGTACAGCAGAATCCGAGGCAGTCGATTTCCCGCCGTGCACAAGAACTCGCCCTTTTGCAGACATCAACTTGGCGAATTTTGCATCGGGACTTAGGCCTACACTCGTACAAGATCCAACTGACCCAGGAACTCAAAGATCATGACCATAGACAACGTTGTTTGTTCGGATTCGAATCCTTTGGAAGAGGACCCCAATTTCGGCCGAAAAATCATATTTAGCGACGAGACGCATTTTTGGATAAATGACAATGATAAAGTAAACATTTGTATAGGGTTTTTCATAAGGGCGGGTAGATGTTGAAATGAAATAAAAGAAGCTTGGAGTGAGGTATTAACAAAATTCCTTTTTATTTGAAAAGCCCATATGTGCCATTAAGTGTCGCATATGACATCGTTCAAATGGCCGCCTCTGCTTCTTACAGTGGCACGGATCCGAGTGGTCTATCATAAGTCCGCTGTTAAACATAAGCCTCACCACTGTGATAAGGATTTATTTCTTCCTTTACTCAAATTGCCCGTAAATCTCAAGGAAGACAAGGTAATAAGTGGTTACTTAAATAACTGGGAAAACTCTACTCACCATACCATATTTTAGTTTGATTTATCGGGAATTATCTGCAGTTGTTGATTGCGCGTTTAAGTTTACTATGCGCTATGCAGTTACTGTTCAGGATAACCAAAAGAAATTTAAAGCAATCGCGTCTCTAAAGTCCCAATTCCCTATTGTAAAAATTTTTCCTTGTTTTTTTTTTATAGGATAGGGTGACAAACGAGCACACAGTCTACCTGATGGTAAGAAGTTTCTTTGACCCATATACATCTACATCTATCCTCGATAAAGAATGACAATGCAGATGCGTTGTCATCCGTGAGGACTAAGATGGAATGCCTCTTTTCCAGTAAAAAGGGTCTCCGGTTCATATACTCACCATACGAAACACAGCAGTGTTAAACTGCTATTTTACGCTGGTATTCTGTGAGAGCGTGGTCCTTCCCCGGTCGAGCCGACCCATTCGTGCTACAACTACACTACTAATATAGCTGCAGCATGGCTCTACCACATTGTTATTTATTGTCCTCTGAAGTTGTATAATATTTAATTGATAGAATAGAATAGATTAATGTTTTATTCAATATTGATTATTGCATAATACTTATTAAAAGTCATTTTTTTTTACCACTGGTTCCGAAAATACCTCTGTCCTGGGAAGAACCAGCAAGATACACAGCGAGACTTTTTTTCAAACATATTTCTCTTAACAATAACTTCATTTATATAATTTTTAAACGATTTTTCATAGAACCAGCATGATGGCGATCACTCTATTCCCAGGGGTTATTGTCATTCATTCATTCCTTGATATTATAATAACCCTTTTTGTACAGTTTTTCTTTAATAAAACATTTAAACTTGTTTATTGACAAACTTTGAATATGTTCTGGGATTTTGTTGTAAAAGCGTATACATTGCCCCATAAATGAATTACTGATTCTGTGGAGTCTAGTAACTGCCATTACAAGCTTATGTTTGTTGCTAGTGTTTAAAGTATGCACGTCCTTATTCTTATTAAAGCTATTTATGTTTTTATGCACATACATTGCATTCTCATAAATATTTTTTTTTATAGGAGAGGGGGCAAACGAGCATGCGGCTCACCTGATGGTAAATGACTACCGCCGCCCATGAACAACTGCAACACCAGGGGAACCGCAGATGCGTTGCCGGCCTTTTAAAAAGGAGTAGGCTCTTTTCTTGAAGGTCCCTAAGTCGTATCGGTCCGGAAAAATCGCTGGTTGTAATCGATTCTACAAGGAAGTTGTGCGAGGAAGAAAACTTCTAAATCGCACAGTGGTGGACCGCCAATCATCCAGATGGTATGGATGGTATCGCGAGATTTGTCGCGATGTGCAATGGCGAAATTGGGCGGCTGGAATTAGTCCGAACAATTCCTCAGAGCACTCCCCGTGATAGAAGCGATAAAATACGCAAAGAGATGCAAAATCTCTACGCAGTGCCAATGAGTCAAGCCGATCGGAAATTCAAACCGCTCTGCGCTGGATGCGGTCAAGTGGAAGGAGCTGGCACTCTGGAGAGTCACACTGGAGAGGTCAATCGACGGAGTTATCTCGGCTGGGCAGCGTTCGGAAAGCTACGACACATCTTCTCGTCAGATATACCTCAAAACCTTAAAACGAAATTGTACAACCAGTGCGTGTTGCCAGTGATGACTTACGGAACTGAGACGTGGTCCTTCACTGCTGGCCGTATGAGGAAGCTCAAGGTCGCTCAGCGAGCTATGGAGAGGGCTATGCTCGGAGTTTCTTTGCGTGATAAACTTAGGAATGAGGATATCCGCAGTAGAACCAGAGTAACCGACATAGCCCAACGGATTAGTAAGCTGCAGTGGCAGTGGGCCGGCCATATAGCTCGAAGAACCGACAACCGATGGGGAAAAAAGGTTCTCAAGTAGCAGCCTCGTACCAGTAGGCGAAGTGTAGGGCGACCCCCCACTAGATGGAGTGACGATCTGGTCAGACATGCAGGAAGTCGATGGTTGCAGGTGGCTCAGGACCGTGCTTTGTGGCATTCCTTGGGGGAGGCTTATGTTCAGCAGTGGACTTGTGAAGGGCTGTAATGATGATGATGATGATGAAAAAAAACTAACAATTTATAAAAAAATATTTTTTCAAAAATAATTTTGGATCAATTCATATTTTTATTACTACTACCATAGATATTTTTATTACTTCCTTCCTCTATATTGCGCACGGGAGAGTTTGTTCCTTTTATAATTTCGTTTGTAATGTTTTTTTAAATACGCAATGATAATACTAACCTGTATTTTTGATGTTGCTATGTATATTAGTATTATTATACGTAGAATGATCTAATCTTCCCATTTCGAAGTTGTAATTATGGGTTCGATTTTCAAAATTAGATATCAACAAATCTCTATTTCTTTCTACTACTTTTTGAAATCCACAGAGACCGATTCTTCTGTTTTTGAAGTTGATTTGCGCGTGCGTGTGTGTGTGTTTTTAAGATTGTATGATAGTGAACTTTTCGTCTCGAATATCTTGAGTAGAAATGTCGTCCTCCAAACCAATTACTTCGGACGCTCAATTGTATAATGCCCCGAACCGACTCCGAGAAATGTTGATCCGAGGATTGTTGAAGTAGCCATAGTACTATTTGTTGAGGGGTTGCGCACTAAATCCGAATTACGTTTTACGAAGTCACGAATATCTCTAGTTTTTTGTATCATAATATTTACGGACCGAAGTAACCACAGTGTTATTTCTATTAATGTTTGCGCACTTCTTCCGTATTAAATGCAAAACATTACGCGAGTGGCGGTGGTCTACCCAGGACTTGATTCCTTCTGCATTTTTGTACGTATAAGCCATCCGTTCCATTAAAGCCAATGAATGTCTACTGGTAAACGTAGACTTGCCCTGACCTGGTGTGAGCTTTTTCATAGTTGCCAACCCGCCTGGGGTTGGCAACCACAGTATTTTTAATATTTTCAGTTGTTATCAGGAAGATGCTGCTGCCCCTCTCCTGTTTCAGTTTCCCTCTGCCGCCTCTTCCCGCCTCACCTACAGGACGATATAGGGTAGTGGATATTCATACACCGTTACTATACGGTAAACGTATATAACAAAAGTTGACGGCAATTGAGAAGACATCTAATGTAAGTACATCTTACATTAGGTGTCTTCTCTGCTGTATGCGAAACAGCACTACAATGGTCAAAACTTTCGAAACTCGGTTGTTACAAGCTTAGAGCTACACGGGCCACCGGCCGATTCGTCGGTGGCCTGTGCTTGGGGTTACCAACTCCCGAAAGGACCAACCCGGGAGAATTTAACAGGAGCAGCTCAACACTGCTGTGTTTCGTATGGTGAGTGTAGAGAACCGGAGACCCTTTTTACTGGCAAAGAAGCATTCCATCTTAGTCCTCACGGGTGACAACGCATCTGTATTTTGATTCGCAAACGAGGATAAATGTAGATGTCTATGAAAGAAAATTTAACATATCAATTCAATAAAAGCATTTAGCGAGTAGCGACACGTGCGAGTGAGCGACGGATGCATATAGTTTTTTTTTAGAAAAACCGGAGAAATTATTGCACCCGGGAGGTCGGGAGAATAACCATTATTACCAGTCTCCCGGGCAATCCGGGAGGGTTGGGAACCCAACATGTGCTCTATGATTACAAGTGACAGTTTTATTTTTCCGGTTTCGACTTCCCAATTTTGTCCTAGTGTTCTAGATTTGTGTTCACTCGGATTCGAATCGGAATTGCGGTAGACGTGCGTAACCACTCTAAGGTGGGCTTCACGTCTCCGTGAGTAGCTCCAATTAGATAACTATACAATATTTTTACAAACAAGTCCTGACGTAATCTAATTGTGAGGATTTTTTTTTCGAATGTAAAGTGGTTTTTATTTTGACCAGTATTAAAATATAGTTATATAGTGCTAGTGCGATAATTAACTTGTGCTTATTAACTTTTTCACGTAAAAAAGTTAAAATTTCGTTTGTGTAATGTCATATTTTTTTATTATTCTGAAACGACTGGAACTCCGCAGTTAACAGAATTGTGAAGTGCCAAGTGTGCGAGTAGGTATTTTCAAAAATGCTATCTGTTTCATCGACTCGACTTGCAAATCTTAGAGGCAATTGCCTACATTTCCTGTTTGAAATATTGCTTCGGGTGATAACGTTTTCACCCCCTCCCCCCCCCCCCCCCCTAAACCCTTACGAAATGAGACAATTTTGGTCTCTTTAGATTAATAATAATAATAATAATAATAATCTTTATTTGCAAGAATATGGTTGTACAATGGTGTTTGAGTATAATTCGTTCTACATATTCTACCTTAGTGGTGTGCAAATATTAATGGTCAATTAACCTAAACAACAACACCTATCGAATTTAACAACATATATTAATTTAACAAAATATAAAATTATTTAATATTATTTAGTTGATTTGATAATTAATTTATTATGCCACAGTGTCAGAAAATGCCATCAAATATATAAGTAAGCATTATTATGTTAAGTATACCTTAATCTAGGTCTGTACGTTTTTCTTTTTTTAGTAAGTCAGTTTAGTTTTTATAAAAAAATATAAAAAATCTCGAAGAAGTTTTAAAGTCAAAAATATAGTTATTTAGATACTATTAACTTATATCTAGGATAAATGTATGTAGATGTCTTTGGCCCATAGACATCTACCTTTATTCTCAATTAAGAATCAAAATGCAGATGCGTTGTCAGCCCTGACAACTGAGATAGAATGCCTCATTTCCAGTAAAAGAGATCCCCGGTCTCTACACTCACCGTACGAAACACAGCAGCATTAAGCTGTTATTTTGGTATTTTGTGAGAGCGTGGTCCTTCCCCGGTCGAGCTGACCAATTCGTGCTACAACTATAATATACTGTGGCTCTACCACGTATAATTTTATTGTGTTGTAGTTTAAATTCGTCAATCAATATGGTGTGCATACAGGACGGAATCAGCACGTGCACGGGACGCGAACGGAACGTGTTTGTATCTCCACATGGACGGGAGTTTAATGCATAAGCAACGTGAGTGACTCGAAACTAAGGTGCTAGTGTTGTGAAAGATGGGTTTTTCGTTTGAAGAGTTGGCGGAGCGACTGTGCATACGCAGTGGAACCACAGACGGGACGTGGCGCGCACGGGGCGGGACGGGTTTCGCCGATGATATTTTTCTCGTTCCGTTCATGCCACGTCCCCGTCCTGTCCGCGCATCCGTAACGTATGCATTTTCACGAACACGTATGCAGCGACCTTAACTCAACAACTTCGTTGGGATTCGAGAATTTTTTTTAATAAATTGATTTTCTTATAAGATTTCGTTCTTTCTTTAGAACTTGATTGCATGTTTGTATAATAAACGCAGTCAACGTTTAAAAAATATATGCAAGGTACACTTCTAAAAAGTATAATTTCATTCCATTCGGCTGCGCACCGTTATTAGGAAGTCGCTGCTGCCCATCTCCTGATTTGTTTCTCTCTGTCGCTTCTTACGGCACCCACGGGATGATATGGGGTAGTGGATATTCTTACACCGCCATTACACGGAACCTGAAATAATAAATGAAACTAATGAGTCTGCAAAACTTAACCTATACGGTTACTAATCGAATATTAGAATAACATATGGTCAACAGAACGCCTTGTGGTATTTAGTCCGCCCTTTTGTACTTGGTGTGCAAATAAATAAATAGTCTCTGGCAGTGTACTAAACCTTAACGAAAACAATGTACCCACATCACAAAAGTAACGAGTCGACGCTAACACGTTTTTAAGTGAAGTAAATTTGGAAAAGCCGTTCACAGCATTAACACCCAAACACTAAACGTATCGTCCTCAGATATAACCATACTAGGATTATTTTTACGGTGTACAAGGCAAACGCATGTATGTAAGGTACACGCGACATCTTGCTAACGAGATTCCAGCGAGTTGAGTTTCAACGAACCAAATTACGGTGGTTAGTGTGTTTGACCTTCTTCCTGTTTTTTTTTTCCAGTTGCCGAGATGTATAATGTACACTGTTTAAAAACATATAAACAAAAACATTCCAAAACATTCCTCCGAGATCCAATTCGATCTTATTTAAAAAAAATAGACAGACTGCAATTTCACGTAGCGGAAACTTTGAGCGACATTATTGATTATTCTTGTTTCTGCTACTTTACCCTTACCTTTTCTCTTCTACTTCTAGATTTGATGATCGCTGGACTGTTTGAAAATAAAGACTGTATTGACTGTGAATCTAAAGCTTCATTATAAATGTGCATAGGTATATATCATTGCTGGGTATGCCGAAAGTCACACATTAAACAGACGTCTAAGTTTCTAACTTTGCCTAGATATAGAATTCGATACAAAATCCTATATTCTATCTAATTCATCATTAGCTATTAGATCCAAATTGTAAACTCAGATTAGTAAATGAATTTACTAAAACATTTATATTTATCCAATAAGGAAAACATGCAATTAATTTTCAGTATGATATAACCCAGCCCAAACGTAATGCAAATAAAATGCAAAGATACAAGGTTTTATGAAAATAGGTAACAAAGTATTACTTTAACTGAAATGATTTTGAAAGAACTGGGTCATTGTGTGGGTGAGTGTTTATTAATAAAGTTACACGACTTCATAATGTTACTTCTACTTAACTAAGTAAATTAGTAAGTAACAGCCTAATATGTATGTCCCACATATTTTTTAATTTCTGAGATTCTTGAAAAAAAAAAACGGTGGAGGTAAAGGTGGATCGTGAGGAAACATCCATGTCCGAGAAATTAAAAGAAAACAACCAATCTCTCAAGTTGGACCAAACTGCACACAGTGTGCAAAATTTCATTGAAATCAGTTTAGTACAGAAGTTTAGGAGTTCATCGCGGACAAACAACGTGACACATAATTTTTATATATAAATATTACGAGTATAATAAATTAACAATTCATTTTTAACAAGTAAGAAGTTTTTAACAAGGGAAGTAAAGACTGTGTAAGAACTAAGACCTCCGAAAGAGGCGGTGTTATAACCGAAATAAGAATTTTTAATTTTTAGGTTTTCAGCCATTTTGACCTAGGAGTGTAATGAGAATTTTTGCCCCTATTTAACCATGACCCCCATGACATCCTCTACATGATAGGCTATTCAAACTGACTATGCCTAAAGTTCGAGCCACCCCTCAATTTTTTGGTTTTTGGCAAATTTGACCTCCTAGGAGTGTAATAAGAACTTTTTGCCCCTGTTCACCCATGACCCCCATGACATCCTCTACTACCTACCTCTTCTACCTCTTCTACCTCAAACTGACTAGGTCTGAAAAAGTTCGAGTAACCCCCCCCCCCCCCCCCAACTCATACCTAGTCCTTACTTTCAATTAAATTAATACATGCTCTATTTCTTTCTTCTTTCCATTTTACCTACATTCCTAACGGAAAAAAATCTTACTTTTTTAAAAAGTACTTTTTCCAGACTACCGTTGAATTAGGAACACAAAATAGTATTTTTCGTACCATATTATTCTTCTATAATATATAGTACAATTAACTGAAATATAGCACGATACTATATAGTATATATATACATAGTACGGGTGGCAACCCTAATTGTATTCTATCTCATTCTCTCGCAGGCTAAACCTATAGAAGTACCTTATATTGTCTCTTCGTTGCATCGAGTTCCGAATCACAACTATTCTAAAGAAGTTTTCACTTCAACAATAGATTATACTGTTTTAACATAGTAGTATAATCTGCGAAATGCGCGCTTACTTTATAAATTGGGCAGACGGCAGTCGTGTTTGCATACCGCCGAGTTCGTCGTTTCACTCAAGGCCGGGTGCACCGCCACCCCGCGGGGCCTCCGCTGCCAAACTTGGCGCGGAGCGTCCGTCGTCCTTTGGTACCGGCCCTTTGGCTAGACTTTTGTTTTGTATATGAGTGGCATAAGTTTTTATCAGCGTTTATTTTTAATTTATGCTTTTATCTGTCCGCAATATCTTTCAATGTACTTGTTGGATCCTGTGTGCATATTTGAGATAAATTAGTTATTTTTGTAAACACTTCGGAATATGTATGAAATTATTATGTGATATGAGGAGCTTTGGTAGCTCAAGGACGCAGCGTTGATTTGAATGAATAACGTAATATTATAATATGTAGTTTATAGGCAAGATACCGATGGAATATAACAACTGCTGCTGTGTTTCGTATGGTGAGTGTAGAGAACCGGAGTGTACGGAGTGAGTGGAAACGAGGTATTCCATCTTAGCTCTCAGGGTTGACAACGCATCTGCGTAAGGACAGATGTATATGCCTATGGGCCGCAGAATCCATTTACCACCAGGTGAAATGTGCTGTGATTTCTATTGTTACTTTATGTATTGTATGTTATTGTTACGCGGTAGAGCCATGCTGCAGCTAAATTAGTAGTATAGTTGTAGCACGAATGGGTCGGCTCGACTGGGGAAGGGTCACGCTCTCACAGAATACCAACTTGAAATAGCAGCTCAACGCTGTTGTGTTTCGTATGGTGATTGTAGAGAACCGGAGACCCATTTAACTGAAAAAGAGGCATTCCATCTTAGTCCTCACGGGTGACAATCTGCATTTTGATTCGCAAACAAGGATAGTTGTAGATGTCTATGGGCAACAGCAACCACTTACCATCAGATGGACTGTGTGCTCGTTTGTCACCCTAATTCTATAAAAAAAACATCTACAGAAAAAGATTACCAATGTAATATTGTTAATTGTAATTTATAAGTGGTGATTTAAGACATAACCCAAAGAATTAGTATGCTGAAGTGGCAAGGGGCCGGCCATATAGCCCGAAGAACCGACAACCGATGGGGAAGGAAGGTTCTCGAGTGGCAGCCTCGTACCGGTAGACGAAGTGTAGGGCCCACTAGATGGGGTGATAACCTGGTAAGACATGCAGGAAGTCGATGGATGCAGGTGGCTCAGGACCATGCTTTGTGGCATTCCTTGACGGAGGCCTATGTTCAGCAGTGGACTTGTGAAGGGCTGTAATGATGATGATGTTGATTTAAGACATGCGGTTTTGTGGCGGCATAAAGTAATTTACTACCGAATATCACCCTGTGGGGGTCGTACGAGACGACAGAAGGAAACAGAAATAGGAGAAGGGCAGCGACTTCTTTTTTATAGTAACTGGTGTGGGTATTTTTCGACTGGCATATTCGAGATTGTTAATACCGCCATCTTTTGGAAGCCGTAAGATTTTATGGCATTTCCCGTGGTTGCCTTTTGAAACATCCACGGGATTTATTTATTGTAAGACGTAAAACGCTTAAGAGGCGCCGTGTGAATTGTATTTAAACAAAACAAACTATATTAATATTTAAGGTCAAGGCTATTAGCGGAAGTTGTGTTGCGCACCGTACGCACGAAATACCACAGTGTAATATAAACAAATTGTGATTGAAACTAAACAATTTGTACTGCTTTATTGATATTACCAGTTGCTAACTTTTTTAACGTGAAAATGCTGGAGTATTCACTATGGACTTTGGAACTAGTTAAAATATATTACACCAAAACGATAAATGGGCCAGATTTCGTCCAAATGAGGTTCGCGGTTGTTGGGATCGCCGAAAAAAAGAGTTGAAATACGGGCGCTAAGCTACATACCATTTTGCTTGCTTATTACTAAAATCATGGGATCTGTAGGCATGTATAACGTTCTTGGAACTGCTAGAGTGGAGTTTGATTCATATCTCGATTCTTTTATCGACGATATAAATAATCACTAACGTCGTTTGTTCCCCTCTATTTTTCCAACCTTAGGTATGAAAAATAGGGTGGCCCTTGAGGTTATAACCCACTTTATTACAGAATCAATTCAATTCGTTTAGCCGTTTCCCTTTATTTATATATTGGCCACGTTTGAATATTTATTAAAAAAAAAATCACTAAAATTGGTTAACTATTAATGAAGATGTCGCGTAATACAAAAAAAGAACATAAGGTCTAATTGAGAAACTGCTTTAAGAAAAGCGAAAAGCG